CCCCCCCCGCGGCCCGGGCCGCCGGCGATGACTTCTATTCGCCCCGCCAGATTTGGGCGAAAAAATAAAAGGGGGAAAAAACAAAAGTTCTTAATTGCAACGCTTCCGGGCACGGCCGGCCTTCTGGGGGGCGAAGGAGGGGAGGGCAGGCGTCCTGGCGGCTCCCTGCTCGCCTGCCGAGGGCCCCGGGCAGCTGCTGGCTGGGCCGTGCGGGCCTGAGCAGGTAAAGCCCATTTCTGAGCCCAGAAGGCCGTGCTGGAAGAGCACCCCCCACTGCTGCCTCCTCCGCCTGACACAGGGCTTTTAAACCTGAACGCTTGCTAAGAAAATGTTGTTCCGACTACTGAGTTGGTCTAATGGAAGATACTGGATTGACCTGAAGAGCCTCGTCTGCCGGCTGGGTACCTTGAGGATGGAGATGCCTGCGAAGTGCCTAGCCTTACTGGGCCAGAAAGTACCATTCTTCACTAAAAACAGAGCTCCTTTCGTTGCCCTTGAATATCTGCATGTGTTTCCTTGCCGAGAAGCGAGGGAGAAGTTCGCCCACCTGAGACGGATGTCTCGAGGAGGCCTCAGGCCTGCCCCGGTGCTGTGGCTCGGCGGGGAGAAGTGATCAAGCGGCAGCAGGCGGTGCGGGGGGGATTCTGCATCGCTGCTCTCGCCACAGCCCGCGGGGATGGGGCAGGGGATCTCGCTGCACGTGCTGGATTTAAAACCTCAGCATCGGAAGCCAGCAACAGTTGCTATGGCCCGTAGGCAGTATCGACAACGGTGCAAGCGTATGCTGCCTGGTGGGGGATGGATCTGTGCTTCCCAAGCCCTGCGTATCTCCCCGTCACAAGTCCTGTTTGTTCTGGCTTCCCCGGGGGTTCCAGATTCAGCCACTGTGTCCTTCCTAAGGCTGGGAGTCAGAGGACTTGGCTTCTGTTGCTGGCTTTGCTTTGGACAAATCTTTCTGTGCCTGTTATCCCAGCTGCAATGTGCAGCTCCGAACTTTCACCCGCCCCGGCCAAACCCCATCGATGGCTACAGATAACCTGATGTCTGAGGTGCAACATTAGCATTTGTTAATAACCATAAAAAGTTTCTGTGTGCGGGAAATGGGTTGCTCTGGCAACAGCATAGCTGGATAAGAGACTGTACAAGGACTGCAGCCCTTTGCACAGCTACATCCACTGAAACGGCTTAAAACCGTGGGCTTGACTCTTACTTACATGTGCAGCCCTTCACGTTGCTGTGTTACCAGGTGTGGCCTTAGATGGATGTAAGACTTATTTATTCTTACTTTAAATTGCCTTTGTACTGGCAAAGAGAAATGAAAATGAGTCCTCTCCCCTTTATTTTTTAGTATTACAGGATTACATCAATACTCCATCTCACACTGGCTGGGAGCAATAAGAGGGAATCCTTTTTTCCCACATATATTTATTCTGCAATGGCTGTGTCACTGCCCGGCTTGACCTTAGCATTCCCTGCCAGGTTCAGACTTGGTATACAAGGTTGCAACCCGGGAGTGAATTATATGTTTATTTACATGCTGTTTGTTTAACCCTGATTACAGGCTCCATCAGTTTGGACCTGCTGCTTAAACTATTCCCTAGTGAAGTTTGCTTCGCTACTTGAAGTCTGTGCCAGCACAATTGAGACAAACTGAAGATGCGAGACACCCGCTGTACGACCATCCTGCAGCACACAAATGTCTGAAGTCACACAGGAGCTTTCTCACCAGCGCCCACACTCTCGATGCCACACTCAAGAAGACATGACTACAGATGTGGAACAAGAGGCTGAAGAAAATAGCTGAGAGTGAAAAAATGTACGTTCCAGCAGCTGAGTCCTTACCACCAGGGGCTGATGAACAGCGGCAAAGGTGGCGATGTCTCAACCGCCTACGTACCGGAGTTGGACGTTCCCAGGAACTAATGAAGAAGTGGGGCTATAACATTGGTTCGACCACCTGTGACTGTCACAGAGCTTCAGACTATGCAGCGCCTGCTGCAATGCCCACTGCTTGAAGGCACATGTGCAACGAAAGAGCTTGCAAAGTACAATAAACAAGCACAAGCATGTGTAACAAAATGGTTAAATGTGATGTAGAGACATGAGAAGAAGAAGTCTGAGCCTACAGAGCTCAGCCCTCCAATGCATGGAGTGACTCTCTTGGATGGGGAGAGGTGGATGCTCCTCACCTTGAAGAACTATGTGAACACTGCATGGTGTGGACTGCGGCTGAACCAACTAAGGAAAGGGTCTGATGATATTTGTCAGGAGGTTGTCAGTCAGTCCTCAGCTGTCACCCCCACAGGAACAGAAATCCATCCTGTCTGTCAGTCCTGAGTCTACCAGAAGGAACCAACACAGAACCAGATAAGAGTGGACTTCTACAGTGAACTACTATAAATGTGACTTGCAAAAGATTTTGTTATTAGACAATTTATCCTGCAGCTAAGCCTTGGCTGCCTGCACAAGCCAGGACAGAGAGGTATTCAACGTATCAGGTATATCATTTTAGGGGCTTCCTGAAGTCAAGCTGGCTGGATCTTTTCAAAAAATGGTGACAGTTTAGAAAATCCACCCTTTAGTGACTTGCCCGAGATCACATAGGCAGTTGGGAGGGGTACAAATCACACCTTTGGACACTTTTCCTGCATTTCCATCCATCTGTCATTCCCAGGGTATCTTTATTGAATTATGATCTTTACTTAATAAAATTAACATGGGATTGTAACCCCTTGATTGTCTCCCCCTTCTTTGAAGGAGCTCCAAGTTTAAGGGCCAGAGAAGTTAAGTGAATTACCCAAGGCTACATAATTAATCAGGAGACCTAGAATAATTTTTCCTGTCACAACAGCCATAATTCTGCAATGTCATGTCAGAGCTGGAACCAGCCTGACTTTGGGGTTGTCCAAAAAGGAAGAACCAAAGGTTAGTTGAAGAATTTATCTGCTGAGCATCCCTGTGTGCACACAGCTGATAACTGTAGGGTTAACTCATCTTCCAAATGACACCTCTGCGGATCACCTTTAACTCTAAGTTTCCTGATTTTTGTGAATTTGAACGTGGTTTTGCTAGCACTTCTTTGTGTGCAAATTATTTAAGGATGTCAGGTCAAGAGGAGTGAGTTCCAAAGTCTGAAATGGATTGTTTCTGCTTGTACTCCAGGTCACATTTTTTATTGAAGAAGTAATCTATTTTTTCCTGGAAGTCATTGGTTTTTTTAAAAAGAAGCTTCAGTACTAATTAGAATAGATTGGTTATCCAACACACCCACAGAGGATAACAGACGGACCCAGAAGGAATTCCAAATCGTACTGCACTTGAGAGGCTGAGTTGAAACAAACTTCAGAGCTGGAATGTGTCAGGGATTGCAAGGGCTTCTGTGTAGGGTTTTAGACCCAGATTCTTTGAGCTGCTCTATACAGAGTCCCACAGACTTCAAGGGGGCTTTGAGCAGGCATATGACTACCCACAGACAGTGGCTTGCAGCATCAGGGCTTCGTTGTGTACAAGTGTGTGTCATAATGCTGACTGCTCAACAAGTAACACAAATAGGAAGGTGGAACCTAGGGAGAAGAAGGGGCTGAAGTACAGGTGTGGTATTTGCATCGGCACAGGGGGAAGCAATGCTAAAGGAGTGCAAAGAGATGCTGAATATTAGATTCAAGTTCGCACTGTGTGAGTTTGCACGATGCACACCATGGAGGTGGGCAGCAGCAGATCCTCTTTATTGGCTTGATCCTGAACCTATTAAAACCAGTAAAAGTTTTAACTCAGTGATGGCAGGATTAGTCCTGACAATCACTGGCTTTTAGTGGATGTACCTAAGAAAAGGCTTGGAGTGACTAGGTTGTGGGACTCTGAGTGACTTGCTGGGTGTTGTTGTCAGATTTCCCAGTGTATTAAGTAACGTGTTTCCAACCCAGCTGGCTGCAGGAGCTCTCTCTGGCTGCCCATTGGTGCTGGGTTTCCAGCTCCCCCTCAGACCTCAGCACTTTAATTGATTCATTCTTTCCCCCCCTAAACAGCCTGCGAGGATGGTCTGGTAGGTCTAGCTTCTTAAGTTAATACCATCAACTAGTACCTATGTCAGTACGCACAGCTACCCAAGTGTCTTTTCACTGGCAAGAGAGACAGATTGCCTTTTCATCCAGCCAGACCTCTGTTGTCCCTTCTCTGTTCCTGAATTTGTAGCCCTGCTGATCCAAACCAGTTCTCCAGATCATGCAGGATCCAGAACTGTCAGAGCCAATGGCTCTCCCAGAGTCCTATAACAACTCTTAAGAATAACAGTGTTCTCCTCTCAAGGAGGGCCGAAATTCCCACCTGCCAGCCTTTCTCTAGCCATGAACAAAATTCCAGTACTTGTGGGTACAGCTGGTCAAAACATTTTTGACGTAATGAACTTTTGCCTGAACGCATGGTTTTGTGGAAGCCCAACAAAGATTTTGTTGGGAAAGTTTTTTTTAGGGCTGACACTTCTGAATGGGGGCAGAGAAAGAAACAGAGAGTGAGAGACAAAGAGAAAAAAAAAGGAGAGAGAAAGAGACAGACAGACAGACCAAACTTAAAAGGACAGCTCAGGTTTTTATAGGAAAAAAAGATTCTTCAGCAATATTACTTTTGTGGACATATTCTAAAGGTTTAATTTTGAATCCTTTAAGGTTGTC